TCCAGCAGACAATGGTCTTGCGCAGGATCTCGTGAACGGCCTTGTCAAAATGCCCATTCTCGCAAATGCGAGGATCCACGGTACTGGATTCGACCGAAGCTGTTCTTCGTGAGGGCAACGACGCCTTGGATGGTCCTAATTCGTTGTAATTCTTAGGATACTACTTTATCCATCACGAATAGCATCAATACAGTAATCACTTCGAAGCTTTTAAAATAGGATCTACATATTTTGTCTTGGTAATGGGAGATTTCACTTCCTGAACATTGTCGCTTCTATATATCAGGTGAAGCAAGATCTAACGTCCACATCTTGATTGATTTCATTTGCTGTTAAATCCATCCATTTTTTGAATTTTTTTTGTGTGTGGCTATCCGGCACCAGGAATCGTCTAAAATCCATGGTGAGGCTCTTTGGGTATCGAGGTTTCTTCATTTGAATCCTTGGAATCTTTCGGTTTTCGGTTTTCGACATCCAAGCCGCCTCCCTTTCGTCCTTGGGCGGCTGGATGCCTTGGATGATCGCTGCATTTTGCCGCGTCTTGGCGTCCGGAAGGGATGCGTCAGGGAGAGAAGCAATTGCGTCAGAATAGATGCAGCTGAGCTCCTGGACCAGCTCGTCCCAAGTCCGGCACGACAGGCCCGTTGTGTAGTTGAGAGAGAGGGGATGGAAAACGTCGCCTTTGTCTGGGTGCAACCGGATGGAGAGCTCCGAGGGATTCAAGCCAGAGAGATGGCAGCTTTCCGCTGCACAGAGGAAGACGAATACCCGAGTCTCTCCCACCTAGCCGCACTAAAATCTAACGGTTTGGATGGTATATTCTAAGATATCCTTTAATCCAACGGCTGTGATGTATCGCTCTTAACCTTTTATTTGTTGTAGTTACCACTAATATAAACTGCGTTTAGAAGTTCATTCTTATTCACTATTTCTAGCTTGTTGTCTAGCGTCTTTCTTGTTCAAATGGTGAGGAAGGCTTGCATATGCTGGCAGGGTCATCGAGAATTGAATGGCACAACATTATGTGTGACTGATCCATTATGCTGAAGTGACAACTGATGAGAATTTGGTATATATGATCGAATTGGTAAGCTCAATGGCATGTTTGTGCTGTTTGTGTGCTACTGGAGCAAATCAAATATATGTCTTCCCTTCCACAAAATTTGATTGCATGGCTACAGTGGAGATGCACTTAAGTTAACATGTTTGTTTAAGTCTGTAATAATGGATTCCATTGATTACACTTTTGGTTTCCTGTGATCTAGTACCAACTTAACACAACACAGTTAATTTAATAATAAAATAATAAAATAGTGTTCATGTTAGGGGGCGACCCTAACACCGTATTATTCTTAATTGAAAGTCGAGGCGGATGGGAATCGAACCCAGCAACCCTTCACAATAAAACATTACAGCGTGCATGCTATAACCACAAAGCCATGAACACTGGGAGATAACAAAATATTATTTCAGCACCTCTTATTTGAAAAACAAGATTTGGAATCCATCTGATTGTCCACGTGGACGACATCCAGGGGCTGCGAGATCCTGGAGAGCAGCTACTGGCCGAATCAATACCGTCTTCATCCGGCATGAAATCAAAGATTTCTTTGGAGGTGGCCAAATCCCCCCTCTGCTATTCACTGCTGGAAGGGGAACCCATGGAACGTCCTGTCATTCTGGGCAGTAGATTCGTCCAGGACACCAGATCCTTGGCCGGCGTTTTTGCCCAAGCTCGATTTTGCTGCCACAATTTGCCCCTGCTGCGCGAGCGCCATTATCATCGAGTTCCATGGCGCTCTGAGACGCAATCAAACATAGACTCTCACTCTCTGATGCGGGATGCCGCCACATACGCGGTGATCATCGCGTTCCAGGAGACGATCACGGAACTCCTTGTTCTTGGAAATCTCATGATGCCCGGACTGGGCATACAGTGTACTGAGTGAGTCCCAAGCAACCACGTCAATCCAAGATCTTGTTTGCCTGGCTGAGATTGATGTAGGATTGTACGACCGTGTTGCAGGACGCGAGATTCCTCTGGGGCATTCAATCGAACAAGATTGACGCCGCATCGATCGAATGCCCTGTTCTTGCTGCTCGCATTTGCCAGCGAAAGGGAATATCGCGCGATCCAAGAGCCTGAACCCGGCGCGGCGGCGTGGATCATTCGTGGCGTCGCGCCTGGGGGATCGGCACGATAGAAGATTTAGCTCCAGCAACGCTGCCGAGAGCGACTTTGCGGAGAAGAGAAATACCTCGTTCATACAAAAAAATTTGATTGGGTCTCTGGCTGTGGAATCGAACCCGTGACCTTGCCAATATATTTTTTTATTCTAGCCAGGTATCCGGCCATCAGGTTCCCGTCCAAAGTGTACACTAATTGCTTCTTAACGGATACCATAATGTAAATAGCGGCGCAAGAGATTTTCGTTTTGTGGGCGCATGGCGCGCAGCGCGTTGCTGCTGTCAAGCTCAAGAAAGAAACCATTCTCTTCTCGATGGAATGAAACTCTCACTTTCTCCATGCTCTGGCTAGGCCATGGCAAACAAAACGGCTTGGATGGACTCTGCATCTCAATCTGAGCAAGCAGCTGATGCAGAAGCTATTTTTGAGAAACAAAGTATAAGTATGCTGCAACAAGAACCAGCAACATCCGTTTAAGATATTGTTCTGGAAGATGGCTTGTCTGAGCCCGAGTTTGATTTGATCCAGGCACCATGGCCCCGGGAATCTATTCTTCACTTGGTTGTCCAAGCTGGAGGTCCATAGGTTTGGATCCTTTCAAATCCTCGGGGCGTGAGACTCTGGAGCCCCAAGTTTTGATGCCTTTTCTTGGCAATAATATAATATATTGCTCTGAAACCGTGAAAGCTTACTCACCCGCAAACAAAACTCCAGGGTTGCACCAGAGATCCAATAAACCTGTGAGAGCCTTGACCAAGCTCAAACTCAATCAGCTCAGAGCAAGCTTTCTCAAAAGTTTCCAAAGAGCAGATGGCATAACACAAAAAAGTATACCAGGTCACCAACTCATCTCATCACAAGTTGCGCTGTGGTCACTCCACGCCTTGGATGTTGATGAACTACAGGCCTCCATTTTATCTTGGAAAATGCTCGAGGCCAAAGGGTGGCGAAGATGAGGAATGAAGCGATCTGGACTGGACAAGAGTATAAGCAAAATGAGCACGAGAAGAACCATACATACCGCGGAAAAGCAGTGCTTGTGCTTGTGAGCCTAGTTTGAAGATGTCTGAGACTGAGAAGAAAGACCATGCTGCTCGACTCGTAGAGCACGCCCGGCAGCAGCAGACCGCCCGGGTAAAGAGCCCCCTGGATCGAAAATGTGCAGCAGTAGCGTATAATGGCAATGGCGGTGGTTTTCCATGGCATCGTTCTTGAGCCTTGACGAGGAGGTGCCATCCAGCGAAGATTTGCAGGAAGGAGGAGCGATCTCCAGCGGTGGGCGCCTGGGCGAGAATGCGGTGAGCACAGATCTGGGAGGGAAGGCGCATCCACGAGGAAAATCGTCTCCAGCGGCCTCGAGGTTCCTTGCTAATCTGGTCATAGAAATGTATGGAAAGTGCGGGCGCCGGAAATCTTCCAGAAGATGAAAGATCGCGATCGCGGCATTTGCCCTTGTTACTCTTTTTCGAGCATCCAGTTATTTCTCTTGGCAGCTATCAATGCCGATCCGGGGGAGATCCACGCGCTAGTCGACTCTGTGGCCTAGACTGGCCTGGCCTGGATCACTTGTGCCAAGAGCACATTCGAGCCTCATTCGGGGACATTCCTTCGAGTGTAATCGACAGGGATTGAGAAGAATGGTTGGAGCTGCAGACTTTTCTCCACTCTTTCATTCTCCAGCGCTGAAATTTGGCTCGACACTGGCCTCGTCTAGCTTCCCAGATCTCCCCAGGAGATCCACCAAGCATCTTAAGTGTTCCATGATCGTGGACATGCTGTAGTCTTGGGCTATGGACGACAAGTAGTTCTCATCCCGAGATGACTGCAGGCAGAAGATCGCTCTGATCACAGTAGCTTGCAAGATGCAAAGGAGGGAGAAGCGTTGCAAAATTTTTTGATTGGGTCTCTGGCTGTGGATTTGAACCTGTGACCTTGCCAATATATTTGTTTATTCTAGCCAGATGTCCGGCCATCCAAATCGGACACTAATTGCTTCTTAACATATATCATTCCTTTCTGCGGTTGTCAAGCTCAAGAAAGAAACCATTATGGAATGAAGATTTCACCACTGAATCCCTGGGATAACCTACATTTTCTTCTTTTGAGAAACCAAGGGTTTGCGTGCATCCAAGCGACCCTGAATGTTCCGAAGAGTGGCCGTTGTTT